GAAGACAGGAGAGGACCGATTGTTTGCCTTTGGACACCTTTATTCAAACACAGTTTTGCTTGTACTCAACAGGCATATTCCATGCAACAAAGCATTTTCTTTTTGAAAATTATTATTCAAAAAAATAGCAATGGGATGACATAACTCACAGGCTGTGTGCTTAGAAGTTCTACCCTGTCTCAGCCAAACTCAATTGCAAACATGAAAGCCAGCAGCCTGGCACCCTTCTTTGCCCATTTCCCTAATACCGCAGTCGGCCAACTTCAGATCTAAGCAAGCCTGCCTCTCAGCTGTGGGTCCCAGGGAGAAGTGGTGTTTGCAGTTGGTAGCTACTGAAAGGCAGCGTGATGGTTAGTGAACCAGATGTCTTGACACATAGGAGGCTTCCGGGGCAGATACCCACCCACAGATTCTCAATTAGAGAAATCTACCATTAGCAAGACAGTGAGGAGAAGGATCTTGTGTGCAATCAAAATATTTTATCAAATTCTTATTTTGCTGAGATATCAGTTATTAACCTTGAAAATTCATATGAAATGCAGTTATTTGCTAAAAAGTGAAAAACAGAAAGAAGAGATCAAGAGAGTAATGTGATAAACTTGCCTGGATTTGTCCAAAAAAAAGAAAACACCCTGCTTCAAGGCTAAAAATCATAGATTCTAGGCTATGGTTTAGATAACGAAAACTATAATTCTCATGGACCTGAGCAGACTTGAGAAGTAAACTGAAGGTGAAAAAGTCCAATCATAATGAAAAAAGACTATTCTAATGGCTTCAGCAATTCTAATGTGTCTTGAGCCCCAGAAGATTTTGGAGTTTGCAGCTGCGGATGACAATTCCTATTCTTTTCTTTCTTTCTTTCTTTCTTTTGTTTTCTTCTCAAACTGAATTTCAACAATGAAGCAAGTGATTGCAGTGTGGCAATAGACAAAAACTGTTTTCAGAGGATTGCCTGCTTGCAGAGGCCTGGGAAATCCATGCTTCCAAGTCACAAACAATAGGTCTTTTAACCTAATGCTTTGCCCTAAACTGGGTAATAAACACATTTCCCAAAATTGTCACAGTCCAACATATCAGGAAACCTGCAAGAAGAAAAGCTTAGCATAGTTTTCTGTGCTCCAATTAAAAAGAAGAATCTTTTAGAAGAGCTTTCACAAGCTGGATAGCAGCTTCCTCCAATCTGGAATTGAAGTATGAGTCTCACTTTCACATGTATCCTTGGGCAGCAGGATCATTCCCACAACATAAAGATGAATGTGTGGTCCGGCTGTGTGGGGCACACTGGGGGAGATGGCAGGGATTTATATGGATGAAGGAACATTCCCCAGGGAACAAAGACAATCACTTGGATTATTATTTCTCTATTTACCCAGTCCTCCAATTAAGCTGTATTTTGAAGGAAAGAAATGATTAATTTCCTTCTGCCCTGAATATCTTGTGCATTTTAATGGTATTTTAAAATATATTTAGAAATGGGACTGACCCCTGCTAGATAGACAAAGACATTAAAAGGTCATTCATGCATTCTTTCAATCAACCGACTGAAAATACAAAGTCACGGCATTACTGTCCTAACTTCTGGAGATACAGAAATAAATATGGGGGGGGGGGGCCTTCCCTTGCTGTTTATCAGGGAGGGAATATGTTTTAGTATTCTTACTCTGGAGCCAGTTAGATGGTTGAAAAAAACTGAACTTAAAATGCCTGATGGTGTGAATAATCTCTAGGTTTCTCAGAGAAGGCAGGAGTTGAACAGATAGCAGTTGAATAGTAAAAAAAGAGTAGGAGTTTTCTAGATGGGCGAGGATGGGAAGGACATTCTAAGCAGAAGGAATTGCATAAAGACACAACACCGTGAGATAATAATAATAACTTGTATTTACTCAGCATGTGCTCCAGGGCTAGGTTAAACACTTTTCAAGCACTATTTCAGTTATTCATTGAAATCCCCTTACAACACAAGTGCTATTATTATGCCTACTTAATATAGAATAAATTGAGGCTTTGAGAATTAAATAATGTGTTCAAGTCAAATAGCTAATAAGTAATGGAGGTGGGACTCAAACTCAGGTCTTATTTTTTATTTATTTTCCAGAAACTGAGCTCCTGATGCTATATTGTCACATGGTACATGACCCGGAGGTGTGGAGTCAGGACAATAAGAAGCCCCACATTAGGCAGGGACCCTCCAGCTGCAATACACAGATAAGTGGAGTGTTTACAGCACTCCGAAGAAGAGAGTGAGAAGACCATAGGGATGTTTTCAAAAGATTCCTTTTGTAGCAATTGTGCAGACAGGATTGGTGAGGAAGACTATGGAGGGAAGGAAAGCAGGGAGAATAGTGGGAAATTTCAATCCCGATGATAAGTAATGATAACTAAACAAAGGCAACTGTGTGGAGATGGCCTGCAGAGGACTGATTTGCAAAATACATAGCGTTAAAGAGCTATGTGACTTGGGCAGAGGAGAGAGGACTCAGAGAAATGCCAGCATCTTGCTTGGTTGGGAGCCTTGGTGAATTGAATGACCTATAACCAAGATTCTGTAAACAGAACAGCTAACAATAACTACAATGATATGCTGTCTGTCAGCATCAATCAGCTGTTCCCGGGTGGCGACATGATGAGGGGAGGTGAGCGTAGGCAGAGCAATACGGCTAACCTCAGGGCTGCAGGAGCCTCCACAGAGGTCAGGAGAGAGCAAACAACACAAATAACCCTGCAACAACACCGGATCATACTCTACGAGGGAATTGGAGGGAGAACAGAGGTAATGAGTGCTACAGGAGATCAGGAGAGAAATGCTCACCAGGGACTAGATTTATGGAGGAGGTGGAAGGGCTGTAAGCTTGGAAGATGGGAGAACACCTGAAGCAGTCAGTGTATTCACGCATTAAAAGTTGGAGTTCACCTTCCCTGTAGAACCTGTCTGCAGCATATAGATTAAATGGTACACTTCACTTGGATTGTAGAAACCCTTGAAGAGGCCATATTAAGTGATTTGCTGTTGTGTATTTTCTGCATGTGTTTAAATTGCTTCCCTATTATTGTGAAGCAGTGCTGCAATAGACATATATGTGTATGTGTCTTTATAGTAGAGTGATTTATAATCCTTTGGGTATGTACTCAGTAATGGGATTGCTCAGGTCAAATGGTATTTCTAGTTCTAGATCCTTCAGAGACTTAGAACCAACTCACATACTCACCAATGATAGATTGGATAAATAAAATGTAGCACATATACAACATGGAATACTACACAACCATAAAAAAAGTATGAGTTCATGTCCTTTGCAGGGACATGGATAAAGCTGGAAACCATCATTCTCAGCCAACTAACGCAAGATCAGAAACCAAACACCATATGTTCTCACTCGTTAGTGGGAGTTGAACAATGAGAACACATGAATACAGGGAGAGGAATATCACACACTGAGGCCTGTCAGGGGCTGGGGGACTAGGAGAGGGAGAGCATTAGGAGAAATACCTAATGTAGATGACAGGTTGATGGGTACAGCAAACCACCATGACGTGTATAGCTACGTAACAAACCTGCACATTCTACACAGTGTACCCTAGAACTTAAAGTATAATTAAAAAAAAAAAGAAAGAAAGAAAGAAATTGCTTCTCTAGGCATTCATGTACATCAGGATCACAAGGGGTGCACATTAACATTGAAGTTACCAGATTCCACCCCAGGGATTGTGAGTCAGGAGAGATGGGGTGGAAGCAGGGGGATCTGACCCATTAACAATAACTGCTAAAGTGGTTCTGCTGCAAGTGTGTGAAAACCATACTTTGAGAAACACTGCTCCGGGACAGGTTTCATCAGGATACTGACACCTAGGAAATTGCATATTAGAAAGTGTAAACATTGCAGTGGTCACTAGATACTATGAAATAAAAACAAAAACTCTTTAGATATTCAGAGCCTTTCAAATCCTTTAGCTGCCTCTTTAATTCCCTTAGTCTTCACCTTTCTCCCTTCTCCCTGCCTCACATCTCTCCTCACATTTTCTCTCTCTCTTTTTTTTTCTTTGCTACTTGCTCAACTTGTGGTTCTCCCTCACCTTCTCTACATCCCTTTCAGAGCCTCTACCCCCTCACTATCCTGGTTTCACCTTACATTTTTATTCTTTCTTGTTTTTCATTCCATCTTCTTTTATTATTGTAGTACCTATCTTAGGTGGCGATTTTTACATTGATTCATTTATTGCTCTCTATTGGTATTGGATTGTGTCAAATACTTTTTTCGCATGTATTGAGATGACTATATGCATTTTCTCTTAATTCTGCTGACATGGTAAATGGCACTAATTGATTTTTGACTGCTAAACCAACTTTGCATTTACTTGCTAAATCTTTGCATTTCCTTAGCCATGACATGGCATTTTATATACCTACATATATACATACACACATGCACACACTGAATTTGCTTATAAGTTTTAAAGTATGTAATATGTGGTATGTGTCCTTGAAGCATATTTGTCTACACTTCTTGGTTTTTGTAAAGCCTCGGTCTAGTTTTGATAGAGGGTAATTCTGGCTTCATAAAATTAGTTGAGAAGTGTTTCTTACTCCTCTATTTTCTGAAATAATTTTTGTAGCATAGCAATTATTTCTTTCTTAAATGTTGGATAGAATTCACCAGTGATGCCATCTGGGCCAGGAGTTTTCTTTTTCAGAAGGTTTTTAATTATGAATATGATTTTTTTAATTGACAGAAGTCTATTTTTTTCTATTTCTGCTTAGGTTAGTTTTTTAAATTAGTCTTCAAGAAATTTTTCCACTTTATCTAATTTTTAAAATTTATTGGAATAGAATTGTTCATAATATTTTCCTAGTATCCTTTTTAATTTCTGTAGTATCTTTCATGATGTTCTCTCTTCCATTCCAGACATTACTAATTTACATCTCATATTTAATTTCTCCATCAGTTTAGCTGGGGGGCTATCCTAGGTATTATGAGTAATGAGTTGTGAAAATTCTGATTTCTGTGTCATATGAAAGGAGAGAAGGTTAGTGCTCCCTTTGACAAAGCTGGAAGGGACCCTCAGCCTGACACCATGCATACAGTTAAGGCATTGCCACCTACTTTGTGGCATCAAAAGTAAAGTGTTTTTGGTCAGGTGTGGCGGCTCATGCCTGTAATCCCAGTACTTTGAGAGGCCTGGGTGGGTGGATTATCTGAGGTTGGAAGTTCAAGACCAGCCTGGTCAACATGGTGAAACCCCGTTTCTACTAAAAAATACAAAAATTAGCCAGGTGTGGTGGCAACCACCTGTAATGCCAGCTACTCGAGAGGCTGAGACAGGAGAATTGCTTGAACCTAGGGAGGTGGACATTGCAGTGAGCCAAGATCATGCTGCTGCACTCCAGCGTGGGTGACAGAGCAAGACTCTGTCTCAAAAAATAAAAAAATAAATAAAAAACAAGATTTTTTCTTTTATAAATTCTGATTTCTGTTATCTTTTTCCCCTCAATATGTCATGTTCAAGCAAAAAATCTTCTCAGCTGGACTCAAGTTGAAAATTGTTTTGCTTTGTTTTGTTTTGTTTAGCTCTGATCCCAGTTAAGATACTATTTTTCTTTGGCTGAGCTGCTTTTGGTTTTTCAGCCAGAGATGTAGGCAGATACAATGTTGAGAGTTTCTGACTCCTTTTTTTCTGTCTCTTTTCTCTTCCCTTTTCTTCTTCTCATTTTCCATTTGTGTCTGATTTCCCCATGGTCCATGCCAAAAACTGTGACAATGACAACTCTCCATTGTAATTCTCTCCACTGGCTATGCACTACCCCTCCTAATCTTAGTGCTTCTGTGAATTCTCCAGTGCCTTCAGGTACCTGTTCTTTTATGTTATGTTCAGAGTTTATACTTGTCAGTTACAGGAAAGTTGGTCACATATGATGCTACTTGGCTGTTACCAAAAACCGATCTATATATTTCTCTGTCCTCATATTTTAAAGATTTTTTTTTGCTAAAAAATGAATTTTAGCTTTGTTTTGGTTGGATTGGATTGAGGTGAGGTTTTCTTTCATTTGTTTCTTTAAAGATCTTGGTCTATTGTGTATTATCTTGCATTGCTTCTGACAAGAAGTCTGCAGTCATTCTTACATATCTGCCCCTCTGTTTATAATGTGTCTTTCTTCTCTTGCTTTTTAAAAATGTTCTGTTTCACACATTGTTCTGTAGAAATATGATTATAATGTGCTTCTGCATGGCTTTCTCTGGGCTTATCCCTCTTAGGTTTTCTTAAGTTTATTAGATTTATGGATTGTCATAAAGAGTTTCACTTTATAGTTTGAAGTTTCAGTGCTGAGAGCTTTTAATCCCTTGGATTTCTTCTTCTTCTGCCTGCCTCTAGCAAAATTGATAAGAAAACCTGAGTGCTCCCTTTTTTGGTGAAACTTCACCCCTCCTCACTTCTTAGTAAAATCCCCAAGTCAACTTTCTTTTCTCCCCTGTTCTTCCAAGAACTTCTTAAAAGAACTTTTACATATATTTGTTCTTTTTGATACTTGTTTCTGGTGGAAGGATAAAATTAACACCATTTCCAGACCAGCTTTGGAAACCTACCTTAGTCTTCTTAGGTGCTTTATTCTGTGAGTAATAAACCTTTTCACAATCTCATAGTATGTGCAAGGCATCATCAGTCTTGACATTTAAATAAAATTTTGAGTTGGGATCCATCCTGTATCTTCAGATGGCTAAAATACAAGTTTATGATTCTCAACAAATTTTCAGAATGTGTGTCATTATTTATTAAAATATTTTTCTCTTCTACTTTTGCATATAAAATAGGTGTATATAATATTGTCCCACAGGGCACTGAGCTTTTTAAAACATTCTTTGGTATTTTTTATATCTGGATCTGTGCTTTGATTTCTATAATTTCTGTTGCCTGACTTCAAGTTCTTTGATATTTTAGTCCATTGTACTTAATATTCAATTAAGATCACTCAGTAAGTATTTTACTTTGGATAACTTTTAGCTTTAGAAATTCCATGAGGTGGCCGGGCGCAGTGGCTCATGCCTGTAATCCCAGCACTTTGGGAGGCCGAGGCAGGTGGATCACAAGGTCAAAAGATCGAGACCATCCTGGTCAACATGGTGAAACCCCGTCTCTACTAAAAATACAAAAATTAGCTGGGCATGGTGGCACACGCCTGTAGTCCCAGCTACTAGGGAGGCTGAGGCAGGAGAATTGCTTGAACCCAGGAGGCGGAGGTTGCAGTGAGCCGAGATCGCGCCATTGCACTCCAGCCTGGGTAACAAGAGCGAAACCCCGTCTCAAAAAATAAAAAATAAAATAAGAATTAAAAAAAAAAAAAGAAGTTCCATGAGGTTATTTTCCAAAGAGGGTCCATGAATATTCTTACATTCATGTTATCCTTTAAATCTTTCAGTATATTTGTTCTAACAGTTTTACAGTCTTGGTTAGCTAGTTCCATAACTTCTGTAATTACTAGTTTCATTTGCATTGGCATTTTTTGCTCTGGTATGTGCCACAGTTTCCTGCTTCTTTGTAAGCTAGTGATATTTGATTAAAGTCTGCATGTTATGACATTATGTTATTATTTATTTATTTGTTTTTTATTTTTTTTTGAGATGGAGTCTCACTTTGTCTCCCAGGCTGGAGTGCAGTGGCATGATCTCAGCTCACTGCAACCTCCGCCTCCCAGGTTCAAATGATTCTCCTGCCTCAGCCTCCTGAGTAGCTGGGATTCCAAGGTGTGCACCACCATACCCCGCTAATTTTTGTATTTTTAGTAAATACAGGGTTCCACTATGCTGATCAGGCTGGTCTTGATCTCCTGACCTCATGATCCACCCACCTTGGCCTCCCAAAGTTCTGGGATTACAGGCATGAGCCACCGCACCCAGCCTGTTATTTAAGATTTAATATTACACTTTGTCATTTTCTTTGAAGACCATCTAAAAACTTTGTTTTGAGAGGGATTTAAGTGATTTGTGGGTCCCCATGATTATTTTAAGCTTGATTTTAAGTTTTTTTGGGAAGTTCTGGATAAACCTTGACTCAAGGCTTAATTTAACCCCATATAAAATGTGATTCTTCTGGAGCCTCTACTAAATAATCTGGGCACTCACTAAGGTCTTTTTTGCTCTGGTTGGTTTGCCTTCCAAGCATGCATGTGGTCTGGGAATTGATTAGCTTACAGCTTCTCTGATTCTTTTTTTTTTTTTTTTTTTGGCCAATTTTGTAAAATTTTACTTTGTGCATTTAAAACTTAGACTTCAGCAACAGACTCAGTGGGACCTATTCACACAAAGATAGAATCTCTTTGTCTAAAATGCTTTTTTTTCTCTTTGGTACGCAGTTTTTCAAATTTCATTCACTTGAGCTGTCTGAACTCCCATCTCTGCATCCTCAGCTCAAACGTTCTTCCATTCTCTGCTTTAGTTCTTCCTCTCTGCAACAAGATCCATCAAATGCCACCAGGAGAAAACCAAAAAAGAAACACAAAAACCACAGAGTGATCATATGGCTCAACTTGTTTTCCTGATCTCAAAAAATCACAATTTTAATTATTTCCTTGCCAACATCTGAAAGAACTTTTACATATATTTGTTCTTTTTGATACTTGTTTCTGGTGGAAGGATAAAATTAACACCAAGAACTCTTTCATTGTTGAATATAAAAGTTTTTAGATCTTTTATTTAAGGGCTTTAAAAAATCTTTCAGACAAATATAGATTTACATTCCACTTAAATTTTAACCATATTTGACACTTTCAAGGAGAGCTCAGCTGAGATGGTGGTAAAATAAACAGAAACCTTCACACATGGTTGAGTTCACAGTGCCCCGGCTACAAATTATAGTCTGTTTCTCTACCTGGCCTACAAAGAGGTGTGTTTATTGTTTGTAAAACAATTGTAAAATCTGTTTCACAAATATTAAAATTTAAATGTTGGCATGTTATAATTGAAGAAATGGTATTATTATAAGAGAGAGGGAGACAGGAAAACATGAAAACAAGATAGAGTTACAAACATATACATAAAATAAACTTCAGTAAAATGGCAACTACTATAGAGTGATGAGTTTCCACATATCTTTTTCTTTCTTTTCGAATTTTTCTTGAATGAATGCATTTCTTGCATAATAAAGCACCTTTTTAGCAAATGGTGCTGGAACATCTAGATACTCACATGGGAAAAAGAGTAACTTCATCCCTACCTTGTCCTACATACAGACATTAATTTAAATTGGATAATATATTTAAGGATGGCCAGATCTCACTTCTTTTGTTGTCAAATTTTAAATTCTATTAAATTATTTAAATCTTCACTTAGAAATAAATAGAATTATTTAAATCTTCACTTAGAAATTATTAAAGTATGATGGGGTGATAAGCATCAAATAATCAAAAATAACACAGTGTTTTGACCACTAGAGTGGTGAGAAAGTATGTAAGTTGGAAAGGTCTGTCTGAGTGTATTGAAGACAGTGCCTGAGGAAGACAGATACGGCCTCTTAGAATGGATTCTGAATAAGGGAAGGAGTTAGCCAAGTGGATAATGGAACAGAGGAGCATTTTAAACAGCAAACACCATGGGCAACTGTACTGAGACATGGTATTGCACAGTGGTTTCTTTTTCTTTTTCTTTTTCTTTTTCTTTTTTTTTTTTTTTTTTTTTTTTTTTTTTTTTTGAGACGGAGTTTCGCTCTTGTTACCCAGGCTGGGGTGCAATGGCGCGATCTCGGCTCACCGCAACCTCCGCCTCCTGGGTTCAGGCAATTCTCCTGCCTCAGCCTCCTGAGTAGCTGGGAGTACAGGCACGTGCCACCATGCCCAGCTAATTGTTTGTATTTTTAGTAGAGACTAAAAATACAAGACCAGGATGGTCTCGATCTTTGACCTTGTGATCCACCTGCCTCGGCCTCCCAAAGTGCTGGGATTACAGGCATGAGCCACCGCGCCCGGCCCTTTGTTTTGAGTGTGTTTCTTTGACCGCCTACTGGGAGCTAACTCTGGCTGAGCACTGTGGTAAGATGCTGTCATACATCCCCTCTTCCAATTATAAAAACCACATGTATTTCTAGGTTATTCCTTCAGCATCTGTCCACCTCACTCATACTAAAAGGAAGTATGGGGACTGAT